TAGGGTAGGAGACCATCAAAGCTTCATTTTAAAGGATGTTAGGACAAAATGGGATTGGTATTTCAAGTAGAAGGAATAATACACTCAAGGGAAAACCACACAAATGTGCATTTGTCTCCTGGGTCAGGGGTAGAATATAGCTGCTGGGGGTGGGGAAGAGTGCAAAGTTAGGAATTCAGAGAGGTGGTGGTTTAGTTGCTAAGTCGTGTCCAACTCTGGCAACCTCATGGACTGTAGCCTGCCAGGCTCCTCTGTCCATGGGATTTCCCAGGCAAGATTACTGGAGTGGGTTGCCATTTCCTTCTCCAGGGGATCTTCCCAACCCATGGACTGAACTCTGGTCTCCTGCACTGCAGGCAGATTCTTTACCAACTAAGCTACCAGAGAATTCCCTTCAGAGAGGTAGACAGAGCTTATATAATTGCCTTTGAATAGGATGCTAAGGATCTTGGGGTTTATCTTGGTGATGAGGAACTAGTGAGGAATTCATTTATCTGCATCTCATTATCTTTCCTGACAAGCAGGTGCAATTTCTGTGCCTCTGCCTTCCGCTAAATATTATGGTCCTCTCAGGCACTCAACCTGGACATTTCAGAGTTAATTAAAAAATAACTGAACAATGATCCTACTAAACAACAATCTCACCTATCGCCATCCAATCTGAATCCACAAAGTGCATTCCTTTCTGTTTGTTCTGTGCTGCTCTCACTCAGATGCCTATGACCTTTTACCTAGATTATTTCAAAAGTGTCCAAACTGGTCTCTTTACTTGATATTTTCTCCTTCAATCCATCCTACACACTACTCTTTCTTAAGTGATAGCTGAGGCCCCCAAACCTGCAATACTCCCTTTTATACACAGAATAAAGTCCCAACTGGTTACCTTGGTGTTTTAGACCTTCCATTAAACATTGCATCCTCTTCTGTCATTTCACACTCCTTCTTGAATCTCCATCCACACCAGACTTAATCATCTTCCTGCTTCGTATCTTCTTGTCTTTGTGTCTTTTTCCTCCTATTATATCTCTCCTAAAGTCCTTTTCCTCCATCCACTTTACAAGGGTTAGCCCTAATCACATCAGCTGCATGATACATTACTCCAAAATTCAGTAGTTTAAAACAGCGATCAGCATATATTCTCTCTTACAGTTTGTGTCAGTTAGGAACTCAGGGGTATCTGGGTTTAGTGTTCCAGCTCGTGCTGGCTCATGAGGCTGCAGTCATCTGAGACTTGCCTGGAGACGAAAGATCTGCTTCTAGGGTTAAGTGACCTGGTGCTGGCCCTTGGCAGGAGTCCTCAATTCTTCCCCAGGGCTGTTTGTTCCCTGTAGCAGTTGGCGTCTCCAGCAACAACAACTTGAGAGATCAAGGCAGAAACCACAATACCTTTCATGATCTGATCTCAGAAGTCACGTATCATCACCTTTGCCATAATTTTTTTTCACACAGATCAGCCCTTGTATGAGGGAGATTACACAAAGGTATGAATACCAGGAAGTAAAAATCATCTGTGACAGTGCTGGAGGCTGTCTATCACACTATCTCTTCAAGAGGTTTTCTAGATTCCTTAGCCCCATACTCCCTACTCTTCCCTATTCTCATTAGTTCAAATTCTTTAAAAATCAGAGCTCCTGGAGATTGCCCAATAAAGTCACATTAAAAAAATTATAAAGTTTGAATCTGAAAAGTTGCTTTTGTTAATTATTGAAGGATACAGTACTAAGGAAACTTCTTTAAAATCCTAGGTTGACAGAAACTTCATTGTTTGGAAATACTATTAGTGAGGGGCTTCCCAGGTGGCACTAGTGGTAAAGAACCTTCCTGCCAATGCAGGAGGCAAAAGAGACTCGGGTTTGATCCCCGGGTCAGGAAGATTCCCTGGAGGAGAAAAAGGCAACCCACTCTAGTATTCTTGGAAAATCCCATGGACAGAGGAGCCTGGTGGGCTACAATCCATAGAGTGCAAAGAGTTGGACACGACTGAAGTGAAATTTGCACACACACGCATATTCTACATTAATCTTACCTTTCAAGAAACAGATCCCCTAGTCTGCTTCTCGATGCAGGTCTGATATTAATTCTTCTACATATAGATCTGATTTGCTCTATTAAGTACTGTTTCATTTAGTCTACCTAAGTTCTTTCTTTCCCCTAATATTATAACCATCTGCTTTTCTTCCCTTTTTTGGAGACATACCCACAATTCCTCTGTTTCCTTTGCTCTGTGGTTTCCTTTGCTGCAGCAAATTGGTAAACGTAACTTTGTCGGGTTACAGACTTGTCCCTGGTGGTATTTCTATGATGGGATAAAATTATTTGAGCTCATATTTAACTCATTTCATTTTTAAGAATCAGTTATGCTTCTGTTTAAAATTATTTATTTATTGTATTTTTGGCTGCATTGGATCATTTTTGCTTTTTCTAGTCGCAGTGTGGGTGCTACTCTTTTTTTTTGAGCTTTAAAAAAATTATTATTATTATTTTTTTAACACCAAAAACATTTTCTGCTGGTGTATAACTGATTAACAATGTTGCAGTAGTTTCAAGTATATAGGAAAGGGACTCAGCCATACATATACATGTATCCATTCTCCCACAAACCCCTCTCCCATCCAGGCTGGCACATAACTTTGAGCAGAGTTCCATGTGCTATCAGTTCAGTTCAGTTCAGTCGCTCAGTCGTCTCCGACTCTTTGCAACCCCATGAACCGCAGCACGCCAGGCCTACCTGTCTACCACTAACTCCCGGAATTCACCCAAACCCATGTCCATTGAGTTGGTGATGCCATCCAACCATCTCATCCTCTGTCACCCCCTTCTCCTCCTGCCCTCAATCTTTCCCAGCATCAGGGTCTTTTCAAATGAGTCAGTTCTTCATATCAGGTGGCCAAAGTATTGGAGTTTCAGCCTCAACACCAGTCCTTCCAATGAACATTCAGGACTGATCTCCTTTAGGATGAACTGGTTGGATCTCCCTGCAGTCCAAGGGACTCTCAAGAGTCTTCTCCAACACCACAGTTCAAAAGCATCAATTCTTAGGTGCTCAGCTTTCTTTATAGTCCAACTGTCACATCCATACATGACTACTGGAAAAAGCATAGCCTTGACTAGACGGGCCTTTGTTGGCAAAGTAATGTCTCTGTTTTTTTAATATGCTGTCTGGGTTGGTCATAACTTTCCTTCCAAGGAATAAGCATCTTTTAATTTCATGGCTGTACAGTAGGTCTTTGTTTGTTTTCCATTTTAAATATAGCAGTGTGTACATGACCTTCCCAAAGTCCCTAATAATCCCTTCCACCAGCGGGGGGCTATTCTTGATTGCAGTGCATGGGTTTCTCATTGCCCTGGCTTCTCCTGTTGAGGAACCTGGGTTCTAGGCATGTGGGCTTCAGTAGTTGCAGCATCTGGGCTCAGAAGTTGTGGCTCATGGACTTAGTTGCTCTGAGGTATGTGGAATCTTCCCAGACCAGGGAATCTAACCTGTTTTCCCCTGCATAGGCAGGCAGACTCTCATCCACTGGGCCACCAAGGAAGTCCACTGATGGCATGGTGAACAAGGGTATTTTTAGAATATCTTGCCCAGTGAATCATTCTTGTCTTTTCTCTGAACTATAGTCTACTTCCTAAATTTTTTTTTTTAAATACAATCTATTTACTAAACAGACATATTTTGGACTAAACTTGCATAGAAAATCCAAGTTGATAATCACTTTCTCCCAAGTCCCTAACACTTTAACAGTGCTATGCAATTTTTTAATGAACTAGTAATTTTCCCTTTTGCCTTCTTGACTGACTCTTGTAATCTGTATCAAGCAATTGCCAATTTATATTGAGAAAACACCTAGGAAACCACTGTTTTGTGGGCTACTTCAAACTGGGCTACTTTAATATATGAACTTGGTTTCTGATTGACACACTTGCTTTTTTCTCCTTTCCTCAACTAAAGACAGGGACTCACTAGTCACTATACATACCCGTCTAAATGCTAGGGATTTCTGTATCACAGGCCCTGGCTGAAGAATGCTGTAATCTGTAATGCCCTTCTGATTCTGGGAGTAAGGCCAGCATGATCACAATGCACTCTTGTTATGGCTGAATGTCCCTCTGCAGAGGATAGTGTTTCTCAAATGTGTTTGATCAGAGCCACATTAAGAAATACATTTTGTTTCACTTCTCGGGGCACATAGATCCACATGATATAAAATTTTCTCAGAACAACTCCATTACACGTAAAGCACCCTGAGATTGTTCTATTCTTCTAGATTTCATTAAAAAAAAAAAAAAAAGTAGTGGTCTCCATCTCCCAAACCGATATATAATCCCCTAGAGATGGTTTAGAAAACACTGGCTTGGAAAAAGACTTTTGATTTGTGGTCAGTTTTTCCACATTTCCGTACACCTCTGAGAGTTTCCTACAGTTGTTTTCTTCTAAAGGATTACTGCGCCTTCAGTTTTGTGTAAAGGATCTGTGATGGGGCCGGTCCCCTTCTTCCTGGCTCCTTTAAGAGGGTGGTAACTGCACAACAGTGGAGGCGGAGGGGCAAGTCTCACCAAGCCCCTGGAGCAGCCCAAGGCCCGCTTTTCCAGTTCTTGTGAAAGCCTTGTGCGTGTGCGCGCGCGGAGGTGGGGGTAAGGGTGAGGCCGCGGAATACACAGAGGGTTTATTAAGAGCGACCAGGGGTAAGCTGAGCCTCAGGGGCATCTCTGCGCTCGCGCGCTCGGCGAACCCTGGAGGGTAGGCGCGTGCGCAGAGCGCGTCCCGAGTCTGTTCCGGCCCCGGGGGCGCCTGCGCGCGCTCCCGCCGAGCCAAAGTCCGAGGTGGACTCCGGCGCGCGGCCGGCGCGGCGGCGCGCGCCAGGGGAAGGTCCTGCGCGGTCGGCACCGCCCTCCCTCCGCGCGCTCCTCTCCTCCCAGTCTCCCTCGCGCTTCCTGCACTACGGTAGTCGCCGCCGCGTCCGCGTCCCCGATCCTTTCCCTGTTTCGCTCGTGCTGGCTGTGCCATGGCGGCCTTCAGCAAGTACCTGACCGTGCGGAACTGCTCGCTGGCGGGGGCCACGTTCCTGCTGCTTTGCCTGCTCCACAAGCGGCGCCGCGCCCTCGGCCTGCACGGGTAAGAAAGCCCCTGGCCGCGCCGCCTTCCCGGGCCCGAGCTGGTGCTCCCCGGGCGCTCTTCTCCTTCGCCCGGCGGACGATCCCCTTAGCCCCGCGGGGTCAAGTGGAGCCGGGACTGGCCGCGGGCGCTGCCAGGCTCCAATGTCAGGGTGTCCGGGTGTCCCGCGACGCGGGAGTTCCTCGTGCTCCCTACGCTCCGCCTGCCTGTCCAGCTGCCCACTCTGCCCCCGAGGGTGTGAATCTTTTTCTTGCACCCGCTAGCAAACCTGTGCCTCTGACCCGAGGAGTGCCCCCCACCCCCCCATACCCTCCCCTTTTTACATCAACTCCATCACCTTTTTTGGATCAACTTTCTGGGTATGTTGTAGTTTTGCCATCTCATCTGTCAGTGGGTTTGCTTTGTGGACGTTTCTGTGTGATTTGAGGATGGGGATTGGACGCACAGGCTGGAGGCTGTTGTTTAAGTCAGTGGGTGAGGTTTGGCATGAATCCTTAGTAGTTGCCGTTGAAAAGTCGCTAGGATGGTTCATGTGAACTATCCCGGATCCCCTTGCAAAGTTGCTTTCTAAAGTGGTGTCCCTTTGAAGTTGGTCAGTGGACGCCCTGGCATTTCAGCCGAAAAGGCTGAATCGGTTCCGAGGTATTTGGAGGGCAAGGTTCCCTTTCTTGGCTCGCAGGTGGAAGGTGCAGGTGTGCTTTAGATAAGGCTTAGGAGCTCTATTGATTATACTCCGTTGCTTCTCCGTCGAGAATTTTGATGTTTAAATTTAACTTTGGGAGATTATAAGGTTAGAGAAGGCAGAGAGAACTGAGTTACTTGTTGTGGGGTTATAGGTATAATTTATTTGCTTCAGCAGATGAATGAGGAAAGGCTATGTCAAGTATGCCTGCCGGGAAAGTATTGAATCTTGGCACAGTGTTTCCATGCATTTTATCTCATTCATTTCCTTGGGCAGGTATTGTTGCCTTCTCTTTTGATTTGCCTATTATATCTGATTAGTAATAGACGTTGGTTTAAAACATTGACAAGTGGGCTTCCTTCCCTTGAAGTTCTTCCTAAACCTTCCCCTGTCCCTGATTTCTTTATCTTATTAAAGTCTGAAGCAGTGGCCCTTCTTTTCCTTCGTAAATCTGCTTAACAAAGTTGAAAATGATTGGCATCTTCATCAGAATAGAGCAGAGCTTTTCCTTCTATCCAGTTTGCTTTTAAAATGACTTATTCTGGAAAATGTATATAAACAAAATTTTAGATGAGATTGTATTCTTTTCTGAGCTCCCAGTTGCAAATGGAAGTTATGCATTTTCTGGGAATATGCCAGTAGAAAATGTTAAATGTCGTAAAATAACTTTGAATTACATTTTTGCAGAGAAATATTTCAGGGCATGGAACAGGTGTTTTATTATGGGAGAGGGGGATTTAAGGACTGCCCTAACAGCTCTGGCTTGCTTTTATGATTTTTTTTAAATAAAAACTTTGTTTTATTGTAGAATTACATAGTTGAAGAAAAGTACACATAAGTGTAGAGCTTGAAGAATTTTCACAAATGAAACTCACTCATGTAATCATCACCCAGATCTGCACCCAGTTAAGAACATTGTCAGCATCTCAGAAACACTCTCCCAAGTCCTTCAAGTCCCTTCCAGTCACAACTAAAGTAGTTCCTGATTAATAAGGCCATAGATAACTGAGTGAGGAAAAGTTTAAGCATAATCTGATGGGAAATAGTAGCAATAGTAGCATAACAGTATAATATAATCTGGCTTATTAAATAATTTTGGGTGTTTATTCATTATTAATGTAAAATGCTCTATAGATCTCTTTCTGAGAAATTTTGTAAACTTTGGAGGGAATTAAACTATGCAGCAGTTAATTTACTAAACAAAAGATTCTTGTTAATCTTTTGCACTGGCAGTACAGTACTAAGGAAAATCTTTATTTTACACATTAAATAGTGTGGGAGGGGAATGCAAATTATGAGCAGATAAGCTTGAATTTTAAATTACAGAGATAAAATTGTTGGATTATTTTAAAGCCATGAAGAATGGTGTCAAATCTATCTTTGTAGATAATATACTTCCAGAATCATTTGGATATCTTTCAGTTGCTGTCTTTGGCATCATAGTGTTGTAGCCACTCGGCAAACAGACTGACTCAGAAGGACAATGCAGATAGTGGAGTGCAGTTTTTACACTGGCGGGCCCAAGGCAGAGTCTCCTCTTAACCAAGGACCCTGACCAGTTTTTGTGAAAACCTTATATACTCTTAAGTGTATGTGTCCAAACCCACCTCCCCAAATTCCCTGAAACTATTCTGAACAAAGGAAAAGAAAGATACAGTCAAAGTTAATCCGTGATTCATATGCCTTAAGCCTAGGTAGTTAACAGTGGACAATTATCAATAGGTCTGTGGCCATACCCCAATAAGCATAATAAAATTTATGATTCTATTTGGTTACACACATAATTAGGGTATTCTTTTAGGCCACGGAGAGTCTAGGTATGATTCCTTGGGCTCTTCCATCCCTGGGGCCTGGTTTTCCAGTTGGTATGTGGTTTCCACAGATACTGGGCATGTAGCTCAAAGTCCACAGTCTGGCCCAAGATGGAGTCCTGCTTTGAAGATGGAGCTGCATTACATTATTCCAGACATTGGGAGAATGAGTAATTTAATCTTCTGGGTAGTTTTTTAGTTATATATGATTTGACTGGGAGAAATATACTTTTATTACAGAAAACCTCACACGCTTTTGAAGTAAGCAGAATAATTTTGTGGACCCCCATACACTCTACACAAAAAGTACCATCAACATTCTACCATTCTTGTTTCATCTATAGCTCCTTGCTCCCTGCCCCTTATTTTTTAAAGATTTTTAGGTAAAATTTGTATATGTTGAGCTATACACATCCTGTGTATTTTTAAAATAAATAGATGCAACAGTTTAACACATTCCTTTCATAAAATTAGAACGTTTTCATCTCCCCAGAAAGCTCCCTTGTATTTGTTCTATATGACCACTGTACTAACATTTTCACCCTAGTTTTGATTAGTCATATATCTTATTTGTTTATTATTTATATAGGGAATAGTGGAATCATTTTATTCATGGATAAAGGAGACCCATGTATTCAATTCAAAGGAATTATCTGTTTCATAATGTATTACCATGCTAGGTACTGTGAGATGGAGATGTTTGTATGTATGTGTCACACATACATTAAAAAATATATGTCATCTTTAAGTGTGAATTAGTTAAAAATGTAAGATGATGACAATGCAGTGTACAGACAGTCAGGCCTTAGAAATTTCTGAAAGAAGAGATTAATATGGTTGGGAAGAGTTAGGGAAGGTTTTATGAAGGATATGAGCTAAGCTAGAATGAGGGTACGAATGAATGACTGGAGATAAATTGAATGTTAACAGAAGCCTTTATCAGATTTTTGTTGCATTTTATGAGGCATGGTCATGCGCTTTCAGTCCGTTGTCCACTGCCATGAGAGCTCTTTTTAAGAAACACAGATATGGTCATGTTATTTCTTCATTCAACTCTTTCGGCTATTCTAAAATACAGAACTCTTAGCATGAGAGAATGGTGTTCATGATTTGGTCCTTTCAGCCAGCTATATAGAATTACCAGTCTATGAGCGGGATGGACTCTGCCCAGCCGTTGCAGTCTAATTGTAATCATTCTCATCCCCACCACTTCTTCCCACCCGTTGATGTTTATTTTCCTTCATGACTCAATTCAGTTAGCACTTTCTTCTAAATATTGTCTGTCTTTTCCTGATCTCCAAACTGATGTCCTCTGCGCTTATGCTGCTCTAAGCATTCGTCTGCTCTGTATTGTACCAGTTTATTTTCTTGGCTTCTGCCTGCATCAGACTGTGAGTTTCTGGAGGCTATGGACTGAGTCATCTTTACATTCCTATTTTGCATATGTCACAGGATAGACATTCAGAAGCATTTATAGGGTGGACAAGTGATACAGGATAGTTGAAGACTTTTTAAGGATAATTAACAGGCAGTTGGAGATGGGGTACTAGCACAAACATGAGTTAAAGGCATTATCTTCAGAGAAGTGATAGTTGTGTGCCTGAGATTATATAACAGGAACTGGGGGAAGGGGAGGGTAGGAAATCAGTGGGCCAGTTTTAGAAGGCAAGGAAGGGACCAGTCAACGTTGCGAAACTGTTTTATGATCTTAAAAAAAAAAAAAAACAAAGAACAGAAGCAAAACAAAGCAGTTTTCTTTCTCTTCCCATGAATGCTTGTCAAAGTTCAGATTTCTCATCCTGGATTTCAGAATCTGCCTTTATCTGGTCTCATCTTACCTGGCTACTCTTTTATTCCATTACCTGCCAGCAACTACTCTGTTCCAAATAGACCAGTTTCTGCACTGTTTTCTGAACAGGCTTCTTGGCTTTGGAGCCTTATTCATGATTTAGCCATACCTGGAATATCTCTTCCTATATTCTCTGTTCTTCAACTCTTATCCTTTAAAGTTTAGGTCAAGGTCACTTTTTCCATGAAGTGTTTTTAAACAACTTTTAATCTGAATGATAAGCATCCCCCTTTAGTCTCATGAACCGTGTGTTTAGGTACTTTTTTTGTTTCATCTATTAATTGTTTGACTGAGTGTGATCTAGTTGTTGGCCATCAAAGTGTAGGCATGTCCACCAGCTTATGGGGTGGTCCTTCATCTTTTTCAAAGCCCCAGTCTGTAGATGGTAGGAATAGCCAAATGTTTCTGAAGAGTTTCAGAAAGTTGTGTTTTTCTTAGTCATGGCTTGCTTCACTTTCATGTTTCTGCTCTATTTTAGATTCTACTTATATCTTGTCTCTTGAGCCTGTCATTTTGGTATCTGCCTTGATTCCTCCAAATTCACAAATCAGGTTTTGTTGTAGAGGTTTTTGAAAATTTGGAAGTAGTGGCAGGGATTATATCACAACATGTTGTTGTTGTTTAGTCACTCAGTTGTGTCTGACTCTTTTGCAACCCC